GTATATGTGTCACTCTTTATATATATATATATATATATAATTTCTCACATAATCAAATAGATACATTTATTGATTACCACTCTTAAAGGACACCTTGACTAGAAGAATATGTATCTGATGTCCTAAAAAATGCCAGTTTCCTGGGTGTCTCTGACTTCAGATTGTTCATGATCTGTGTAGTTCTTGAGAGTCTATTGAAGCCACTGGATTAGCCAGGCAAGTAGTATTTTTAAGAACTCTTAACCCTCTAAAGAACTCTTAAGAAGAATGTTAAACCCTTGCAGTGGGGCTACCCCCGCACTGCAAGAGTTAAGTGCTCATTGTGGTCTAGGGAGGAAAATAACAAAATTATACTCACCCGATCCTTTAAGCAGGCTTGTTCTTAGACCAGTCCCTTGAGCCTTTTTCCCCCTCTGCTGCAGTGATCTAAGGTCCCTGAGTCATCACGTTCTATACAGTGTATGGGATGTGAAGATGCGGAGGCACATGCCATTGCTGAAACAAAGAGGAGACAGGCAGGAGGAAGTGCTGTCAACATAATTTTTTTATTTTCTTCCCTAGAACAGAATGAGCACTTAACCCTTGTAGTGTGGGGGTAGCCCCATTGCATGGGTTAATAACATTTTTGCCCGGCGTTCTTCTTTAAAAGGAGAATAGCAGTAGCAGGTTACATACTGTATCTCTCAGCACAGTATTCCTTTTAAGATACCAGTTTATATGATCTTACCCATAGACATGATCATCTATCTCTAAAATATAGAAGACACTCCCAGCGGATCATTCATCTTTGAGGGAATGATGAACAAGCTGTTTTGGATTTTCATGGCTGATCAAATGGGCATAATCTGATTGGAGTTTTATGCTTATTGCTATTATAGTGCTTTTATTGTGGTTCATTATAGAGATTACATTTACTGGCAATAACATCGTTTTTACAAAGATTTTACTTGTCTAGTTGCCATTTGATATCCTAATTTTCCAATTTCATTCGAGGTAACAAGAAGTTTATGTCTCGTGATGTAGACAGGCTTCAAAGCTGAAGTTTATTCTGCTTCTATTTAGCCTTCCCTGGTTCCTCCCATATCTATCACCATGCTAATGATATTTCTTTAGAAAAACCTTTCCGTTTTACTTTTGTACCTTCAGCCCTGCGGGTTGAACGAGAGGAATCAATTTTCCAATCCACGCTAAACACAGTGGATGGAGGAATCTCTATTCGACTATTGTATTCAAACAACCGCTACACCTCGGGCTGTCTGAATACCCAAACAGTGACCGCATCTGATAGAATGTAGTCGCTTCTCAGCCGAGAATTTTCCATCCAGCTCAGACTATTTTTACTCAACCCCGCTGCGTTAAATAAACAATGGGCTTCTTTAAGCAAAACTGAGAAAGATACATAGCTAATATCATAGCTAATATGTGGAGCATTGAGCTTTACCAGATAGCTCAAACGGTGAACACAGAATATAAATATGCAATATATTGTATACTTAACCTGATTAAAGAAAAAACATAATCGCAAGATGAGTAGCCAGTGGGGGATCGTCTGCTACGCTGGAATAACGATCTGCCGAACTCAGAAACAGCCTACGAGATGGACTTACAGGAGGGATTAGGTGAGTATAACTTGCTTGCAGGTAAGGAAAAAAAAAAAAAACCCTACAGGATGGGTTAAAGGGGGGTGGGAGGGAAGAATGGGAGTTGGGAAGGGGGGGGGCATAGTTTGTTCAGAGTGGGTCTATAAAAATTGCCACTTACATAGTTTCCACAAGAAATAAATGGTAGGACATGCAGATATCCTATAAAAAAAATACTATACATGTCTTTTAATGCAGAGAGCTATACAGTGAAGTTCTCTTCCCCTTTAAGCACATAAAAAGGGCACAAAAACATGTAGAAAACGCCACAATGCATTATAAAATGGACCTAAAACGCATGATAAAAAGCACGTTTTTTTTAAGCATAGATGTATAATCAGGCCCTTAAAGCTATATGCAAAGGTTGAGCAGGTACAGAAAGACAGACTTTAGAAAGAAGGCCCCATTCACACCTACATTTTCCATGCATGCAATTGTACAAGAAAAGCCTCTAAATTGCCACCCTACACTTGCGCTTAGGTGTGAATGGAGCCTAAATTATAGTTTAAAGCTTTTCACTAACGCATAAATCAGTTGATGTTTGCTTTCCTTCTATAAAACATTACAAGGCCTGCCTTGCTCTCCTATCTTCATAATCTGACTCCCTTCCCCCTTTCCTCCACTTGTTCCGTATGGCCCATAGATTGCAGCAGTCTTATAGCCCTAGTCTTCTTGTGTTTTTTTTTTTTTTCCCCTCTGAATAATAGATGAGAGGGTTACGTGTGAACATCTATTTATAGAGACCACTGACGATGGTAGATGT